TGCATTCTGAATTTGTCTCAGATTGTTAAATGCACATTTGTTTGAACAAATGTGACTTGTAGCTCCGAAATTAATTACCCAAACTGTAGAAGTAATTATTTGATCGTAGGAAATAGAGAGGCATGTACCTGTCATATGATTAACAATAGGTTCCTGATGTGTTTTGATCTTGGTAGCAGTGAGATAATTGTTCAACAAATTCATCAAGCATCGATATTGAGTAGGATTTAAAGTCTGTACAAAGTTTCCAATCTCACTTTGTGAATAATCTGTCACATGGACTGGTTCAGAAACTAGACCAGCTATAGCACAGTTGGCTTGATTGCTTGGATCTGCCTGGTTGTTCACTCCTCCAACTTTCTGCCTTGGCTTATATCCAGGAGGAAACCCAAACGTACATACAGATCTTTCTTTCTTCTGAGATCTGTTGATCGACCTCCCTATACTCGACTTTTCATAGAAAGCCATTGAATCAATACTGCCAGAAGCATCAACTGCGGAATTGCTAGCTGATGATGAAGAATTATGGATAAATTGGCTTGTAATTTTTGTGGCCATTGTCGATCAAAAATGGCGAGAAGGAAGCATGAGAAAGGGCTTTGATACCATATTGAAGATGGAGAAAATTCTGTATTATTCAAGTAATGAAATGATACAACTTGTCCATATAAATACAAGGGGATCTAACTAACTATTACAGCTGGCATCTATACAATTGGCGCCAAAATTACTTACAGTTACATCGGTTATGCTGAGCTGAAATTGATTGATCTGGATTTGAGCTGAAGTTGTGAGCTAAAGCTTGACTCTAATAATTTGTTCTATGTGATTGGATTACTTTGTTTTGCTTAATTTCTATAGGATGATAATCATACTAGTTAACTGGGAATACTCAATTTGTATACCATGAAAACAGAATTTTTTTTTTCCCTTATGTTCATTGTTCAAAATTTAAGGTTAAGAACTTCAAACAGTATTGATTATTTAGTGAGTGGTGCTTAGTTGGAGGGAATACATTTGGGAAGCATTGGAGTGGACTTAGGAATGGGTGAAGGTGAGAGAGAAAGAAATGAAATTGACATGAGATAACATATGCTTGGTATTTCCAGGAATTGTGGTGGCGCTGAAATCAAGATTCTCTATCCTGAATTTATTCTCATCTTCAGTAAAATCAATTGAGCATTGCAGCAGAATCAAAATGGCAAACAAACGAATCATGCCCTCATGTCTAAACTTGTCTACATCAGGGTTGTGGTCTGTGGATGATGGAAATAATTGAATGATGCTGCAGAGTGGTAGAGGGGATAGATAAGGAGCATGTTTGGCAAAAAACTGCTTTCTTATAAGTTGGGGTCCCACAAATTGTGTGGGCCAAAATTCGTTTGCCCAGCTTCCACACAATTTATGGGACCCAACTTATGAGGAAGTAACTATTTTTTTGCCAAACATGCTCGAGGGAATTGGGAGTCATGAGGTAGTGAAGAGGGCATTGTATGGGGTTGTGGTTAGAGGAGAGAATGTGATGGGGTGGGGGGTATTTGGAGACGTGGCTATGAAGGTGGTGTCAGTTGAATCACGGGGAATGGTGGACTGCTGGTGGGATGGGTGGTTGATGGTAGTAGGGGGTTTTGGTGGGTCAGAGGTAGCCCAGGAGCTGCTGGAGAAAGTTGAAGGCAGTTGGTGTATGAGGTGGTGATTTGGTAGAAAATGGGGTGAGCAGACATTTTCATTTCTTTGAATCTTGGGAGGGTATATTACCTGGTTAAAATGTAGCCATTCCTATGAGATTGGGAATGCGCTAACCTGAGATACATAATCCCATATTATTGGAGATGGATTTCCTTAGGAATGAATGTTTCA